AAATGAAAATTAAAGGAGAAAATTATGTGAAAGTGCTTTGTAAACTGTCAAATGCCAAACGTGCATAAGGGGTTATTACAGTAGGAAATGGTCCCTTTCAAAGGTTGATCATTTCAGGGAAGTCCCAAAGATTAATCATTTAAGAAATGTTATAAGCATAAATTACTAGTTTCCATATTCAAACTATGACAGATTCTTGAAGACATGAGGAAAGTAATTGAAATTTGGAGGAAAAGTCTAAATAGTGTTTTTAATTGATTTGGAAATACTAGTTTCACATCCCAGAGAAGGAAATGGCAGCCCACTCCAGTGTTCTTGCCTGGAGAATCCCGTGGACAGAGGAGCCTGATGGGCTGCCGTCTATGGGGTCACACAGAGTCGGACACGACTGACGCGACCTAGCAGCAGCAGCAGCAGCAGTTTCACATCCCATAGAGGAATATGCAGCACTTTTGGAGATTATATTTAAAAGTCATTGTAATAATGAATTGCCTAGAGATTCAGCCATTACCTGGGAATTTTCTTAGGATTCTGAACATTGCCTAGAGTACCAGTGGAATGCTGAGGCTGTCTCTTTCTTTGATTCGTCTCCTGGGAGCTTGCAGCTACCCTTTCCACTCCTAGGAAAGCTAGTGGAGTATATGAGATAAAGTGGGTTCCGATTTCATGTGGCATGATCAATCATGTCTGTCTTATTCCAGATGCGAGGTCCGAAACATTTCCAGTCCACTCCGAGTGGAAGATAAGGCATTGGGCAGTGGGCAGGCAGATGACGGCCACTTCACGGTTCCCTGTCCTTATTCTGAGAGGCCGCCGTCAGCTGAGTTCTCAGGCCCAGGAGAAAGCAACAGAGTCTGGAGATTGGGTTGTGGGAGGATGGTGCAGAAGACCAACCGCTTTGCACGTCCCCAGAGACCGCCCGGGCGGGGCGGGCAGGGGTCGGTGCCCCTCCCCGGGGCGGGGCTCGCAACCCCGCAGCCGGCTCTGGGCTAGAGAGGCTGCTTGGCTGCTAGCTGCTGGCGCGATGTACCTCCGCCGGGCGGTCTCCAAGACCCTGGCGCTCCCACTGAGGGCGCCCCCAGGCCCCGCGCCGCTCCGGAAAGACGGTGAGTCCCAGGTGCAGACTGGGGATCCTCTCCCGGCGTCCAAGCCCGAGGACAGGTGCCCCGCGCACAGATTGCGCGGGCGCCCCCAGTACCGGTCTGCCCTTGGTGGGTCAGATCCATCCCCGGGCAGCAGAAGCCTGAGGTTGATGGGGGAGAGATGGGGGAGAATGGCCGGGAAATCTCCCCGAAATTCTTGGAGATCTTGGAAGTAGGGAACCTTTCCAGCGCGGGCTTCTGAATCCGGTCTAGATTCCCTGAGTTCGAATCTTGATCTTGGGCAAGTGATTTAACTTCATTTTCCTCAACTGGTAAATGGACAACACTTGTGAGTTTTAATCAATTATTATGTAGTTAAAAGCTCTTGGAAAACTGCCTGGCTAACGTAGGCATTAGCTTCCCACTGGTATTGACATAGGGACCAAGGCGTTCTCCATCTTTACGAGGAAGCAGAGGTACTGGTGGGCAGATGGTCACAGATCTGCGGGCCAGGCGGGTTGCGGGAGGCAGTGTCGGTCCAGTAGAAATTGGGTAACTGCTCTTGAGAAATAAACTCCAGGCTTGGCCAGGACTCGGCCCGCGCGGGCCGTGGCATCCCCGCCGAGGAAGCGGCTTCGTCGCACCTTCCTTGGTGGCTGCAGAGAAAAATGGAGCTTAGCAGCTGTTCGACCGCGTCGCCCCTGGATCTGACACCCGGAGATTTTCTAAAACATGGGGAAAGGGACATATTTCCTAGAAGAGAAGTGGCAGTGCGAGTTGGAAGCTTATTAAAGAAAAATTGACACGTACGAAAGCGCCTAGCATAGGGCCCGGGACATCGCAGATGCTTAAGTGTGCGCACTGCGAGCATCTTCCGCGAGCAGCCGGCGACCCTGGGCCCAGGTCCGCGCTCCCGGAGAACTTCTGCCCCGGCCGGCTCATTCCTAGTCCCCATCCATCTCCCCTGTCTTTTCTGTCCGTGATTGGGGCGCCGGCTCTTAGACAGCCTCGTGGAAAATTCTTAGTTCTCCCTTCACTTTGCCTCTCTCCTAAGGCTTTTAGCATAGTTCGTGCGTTGGAGTCGGGGAGGGGGAAAGAGAAAGACTCCGGCGGAAAATTCCATGGCCCATTTCCACACCGCCTCCCCCCCCCCCACACTTTGATTAAGCCTGTGGTGGTGATTAGTGATAGTGGGAGGGAAGCAAGGTCTGCCTAACTAGCATTATTTTTCCTCTTAAAATGCTCCTGGGAAGAAATTGCCTCCATTAACAGAAATAAGACTTCGTTTTCCTTGATCTTTATGCTGAGTAAGATAGAGCAGGTTTTTCGCTGGTGAAATAAGAGGAAATCATTCATTTGAAATTTCTGAAGATAACGGGGCTGTTGTGATGGGGGCTGGGGGGAGAGAGATGAGCCCCCTGATCGTGGCCTTTTGCATTATCTCACCGCAGCCCCCACCGGCCACACGGGCAAGCATATATGTCTTTTTTTTTTTNTTTTTTTTTTTTTTTTGGTAGCTACACATATTTCAAATAATTATTTGGGGCAAAAGAAAAGCAGCTTTAAAATTCTAAATAGGTTAGCAATATTGGTTGTAGCAGTACTACAAAAAAAGACCAGTAGTTTTTCTCATTTTCACCTAATTTTTTGATTTAAGTATTTTCAGAACTGTTATTGACTGAAAATTTGGCTTTGGTCGTGAGCATTAACCTTTTATTGGTTCTTTCAACTTTGATGAAAAATGTAATTGATTCAGTTTATTGAAGGATAAAATTTTTACTGTGCCTCATCAAATTTTGTTCTCTGGTTTTTGCTTTTAAAAATGTAAAATTTTAATGAGTAAATAAATTAGGTTTATAGTAAATCACTGGAAAAACTCAGAAAGGCAAAATAGAAGTCGCTGATAAATCCTATCACTTAGTGAATACCACTATTTATTTGTATTTTAGTATACACAGTGTTCCACACCTTTTTTCCTCCCTGTATTTTTTTTCTTTTGTACATTGCTTCCACAAATCTGGGATAGTCCTATAAAGATTACTTTGCTGTAACTTTTCACTTAATATATTGTAAATATTTTCTCATATAGTCTTCTGCAAAAATTAAAATATTTATGTTTCACATTAAGAATATGCTAAAATTTATCTAATCCTTACTGAATATTTATTTCCCATTTTACTGTTCATTTGAATATCTTTGTCATAATTGTATTTGTATTTGTATGTACTTAAACGTTCGTAATTTTCTCTATTTCTTCCTATTAAAAAAACCTTTATGTTACTTATGCCTGGTTGCTGACTATGAAAGCAACATATTCCCTATTTAATAACAGATGTATTTGTAAACAAACAAAAGCTCCACTAGAAGTCAAAGACCTAACTTCTTACCATAGCCTCTCCGGGCACATTTGTGAAAAAAAAATGTTTTTTTTCTGAGCAATGTTCATTTATATCCAAACTAAGAACATATATACAAAATCTTTCCAGTTTTGCTACTACAGAGATTTGTAGTTTGCGAAGATGTCCTAAGATTTGCTTTCTGCAAATCAGAGCTTCTTCCTGGTCCCTACACCCTTATTCTCTGTGCCAGGTCACATCAAAATACTGCATTTTCCTCATCACACAGGTCTCATGCTTTTGCACATGCTCTGCCTTCTGCCTGCAGCGCCATTTCCCCTCCCCTCATTTATCTGACAAACTCCTCCTTTCCCTCAAAGCTAGGTCATGTCTCTTCGACTGTGACAGTTGCGTTGCGCCGGCTAGCTGAGTTCTTTCACTGCGTCTTCATGCTGCTGTTGCTTCGGCTTTCATATTTCATCCATTACATCATTTGCCATACTGCATTGCAGTTATTTGCCTACAATTACTTGTCTCTACATCTTCTCCTTCTTTTTTTATGCTAGGGACCTTGTGTGTTGTGCTTACAATCATATTTTTGTTAAGATTATTTAATTAATTTATTTATTTTTGGCTGTGCCTCAAGGCATGTGGGATCCTAGTTCCCCAACCAGGGATTGAACCCACACTTCATGCATTGCAAGTGCGGAGTCTTAACCACTGGACTGCCGGAGAGGTCCCTTCAGTTATAGTCTGAATGCTTCTAACAATGCCAAACACATAACTGTCCAACTGTGTTTGTCAAATGAGTAATAAAGGTCCTACTTTTTTATCTTTTTTTTATCTTTAAAATAGAGAATTTTGGCTTTAAGCTTCTTCTAGCTTTGAGTTTATTATAAAAAATTTCAATTCCACAGCATATGGTATATACAAATTCTAGCACTACACAGTTAATATATTTAAGTAGAGTAGTATAGTACCTTATCTATTTCTATTAATTTGTACAAAATTGCCCTTCTGTTTTAGATATGAACTTATTGGCAACATTTGTCTTTGAAACGTTTATATCTGCCCATCTTTAAAGGTTTTATATTAGAAGAATTAAAGTTTCTTTCTATGCCTACATTTGTGTTATAGATTTATAGAAACATGTAGGATTTCAACATAAGTTTTTATTTAACACATAAATTTTAAGCACAAATTATTTAATTCATTTTAAAAAATAAACTTTTCCATCGAATGCTGTGGTGTGGTATATATAATTTTTTTTTTAGTTTGGTATATTTAATAAATGGATTTCTTTTGCTAACCTGTATTTCCTTTGACTGTTAAAATTATTTAGTGCTTTTATCATTTCTCCTTACTCACGCCTGCATTCCTCCTAAGAAAAGCATGATGCTGAGCATCAAGATGACAGGTTTCATAAGTAATTATCAAATCAGATTGAGAAAAATGTCAAGTGGAATTACTGCCCTACCTTGTAATACTGTATTCCTTTAAGCTAAAATCAGTTGAAGTTAATATAGTCCATGCTCACTGAGGGGAAAAAATTTTTTTTATGTAATCACTTAAAATAGTTTTGCCCATGGTGGAGCTAACTGTGTTTAAACTTGTTTTCTTAGCGTCTCTTCGCTGGATATCATCTAACAAATTCCCTGGATCATCTGGATCAAATATGATCTATTATCTGGTTGTAGGTGTCACAGTCAGTGCTGGTGGATATTATGTAAGTGATTAAATAACCTTGGTGTTCAGGAATCCATATATTTTACAACATGTGGTAAAACTCAAAGCAATGTCAAGATCAGGACCTAGGAGTGATTGAATATACAAGATTATGAAAAAAGAATTTAAGTATAAAATGCTTAATACCACTAAGTATGAATCACTTCCAGTAAAAAACAATGTTATTATAAATACTAGTAGTACTAATAGCTGACATTTGAGACCATATTTCAGACTCATGATTCATTTAATAATTACAACAATTCTTTAAGGTAAGTACTATTAATGACATTCAACAAGAACCGTTTCGAGAGAGAAACTTTTTAAGAAATTAATAGACTTTACTTTAAAGACGAGTTTTAGGTTTACAGAGAAATAAGCAGGAAGTGCAGAGAATTCCCCCCTTACCCCTCTGACCCCCTTTTCCTTATCAACAACCTCCCTTTAGTGAGCTACAGTTTCTTACGACTGATGAGTCAATACTGATACATTGTTATTAACTAAAGTCTGCAATTTACATGAGAGTACACTCTTAGTGTTGTACATTATATGGATTTTGACAAAGATATAATGACATGTATTCACCATAATGCCTTCCCTGGTGGCTCAGCGGTAAAGAATCCGCTTGCAATGCAGAAGTCTCAGGAGAGGCAGACTCCATCCCTGGGTCGGGAAGATACCCTGGAGTAGAACATGGCAACCGACTCCAGTATTCTTGCCTGGAGAATCCCCATGGACAGAGGAGCCTGGTGGGCTACAGTCCACAGTGTCGCAAAGAGTCGGACACGACTGAAGCAACTTCGCATGCACATATGCACGTGCACATTCGCCGTTTCAGTAGCATACTGTCTCACTGCCCTAAAAATCCTCTGTGCTCCAAGCAGTCATTCTTCCTTCTTTCCCCACCGTCCTTTTATTGTCTCCATAGTTTTTATTAGCTTTATATTTTTTTGTTAAAAAGTAATATTTATCCATATTTTTAAAAAAAATTCAAATACCCACATATATAACATCAAAAGAATGTTTCCCTTATTCACTCCCTGCACGTAATCACTATAAAACAGTGCTTTTATTTTTTTTTTTCATTTATTTTTATTAGTTGGAGGCTAGTTACTTTACAATATTGTAGTGGTTTTTGTCATACACTGACATGAATCAGCCATGGATTTACATGTATTCCCTATAATAGTATGATTTTGAAGCTAAAAAAAAAAAAAGCTGAAACAGGGAATTCCCTGGCAGTCCAGTGGTTAGGACTCAGCACTTTGGGAGTTGTGGGCACAGTTCAATCCTTGGTCAGGGAACTAAGATCCCGAAAACTGTGTGGTGTGGCTAAAATAATAATAATTCTATTAAATTGAATCATTCCTCATTTTCTTTCTAAATTGATATCTAATCTTTATTATGAATAAGAGTAGAATAAGTGTTATTCTTCAGAAACCATAAGACTACACAATCACTACATTTTGGTTTGGCACTACAGAAATATACATAAAAGGGATTTTTAGTCTTAATTATGAGCAGTTTGTAGGACTGTGAAGACAATGAAACCAAAACGCATATTTTAATCTTCAGGAATTTGAAAGCCTCAGGAATCTAGTAAAGTTCAAAGATGCCATTTTTATTATTGTCCTCCTCTAATCGGCTTTCACTCTTAGCTAGATTTCTTTGCTTTTACCATCTTCCCACTGCTGAATATTGAATTCATTGCCCAGGGCTACTCTAGTCAGATATAGGCCACTGGATAAAACAGATTAAACTAGGTCATGTGATTATGTGGGAAGCTGGAAGACTGAATTTCATCTGGACCTCACCACATCCCTAATTATGCTTACTAGTGCCACTCATGAACCTCTCCAGGCCGCTAAATTTTTCTTTGCAAAAGCAGGAGTAAACCGGACGGTTAGAAACTGGCTACTCGTGAGAGCTCTTTCTGAGCTTGTTCTCTGACAGTGGGAGTGGAAATTGGGCAAGGTGATGATCTCTAAGTCCCTTTCCACCTCTAAGATTATATAGTTTTAATTTTGAATGCTGGAAGCCTTAATTCCCAAGAGTCTTAGGCTACTTTCCAGAGGAAATACAGAATGTGAGGCACTCCAAAAACCTGTATTCTTATAATATTATTCTATTATACTAGAATAATATTATCCTATATTATTCTAATATAGAATAATTCTATATTAGATTTAATCCAAACTGAATCTACAGATGTTCTGTAGAACACTTTTTCATTTCCAAGTAAAATCTTCTACTATGAGAGCCTCTTAAAATTTGAGAAAGGCCCAGGTCACTTCAATTTTTTGAGAGTCCAGCTATATTTTAAAAAAATTATTTATTTACTTCTGGCCACCCAAGCAGCATATGGAATCTTAGTTCCTCAACCAGAGATTGAATCTGCACTCCCTGCATTGGAAATGCAGCATCTTAACCACTGGACCACCAGGGAAGTCCAAGGTCTGGGTATCTTGAAAAACAAAATGCCAGACTGGGTTTTAAAAGCTGTGGTAGATTTTAAATGCTCACATTTAATAAATGTATAATGTCATGGAAATTATTTCCAAAGTCTAACTCTGAGACCCTCTCTTTTAATCGATCTTTCTTCTACTCTGCTTGATTATGTTAGATTTTACAAAGCTAGATCCTCTAGGTTACACATCAGTGTGAGTTACTCTTATATCTCTTTGATTCTGCTTTAACAGCTCAATTGTGTTTTAGCCCCTTGAACAATAAGACTAATGTCCTTGGGATGTTGTTGCTGGAATAGCCATTTCAGGGCCGTGAACTTGGGCACAGGTTCAGCTTTACCGTACTGAGAAGTGACTCAGCATACTAGTCCTGTAAGCCGTCAGGATCTCCCACCCCACTGGGAAAATATTCCTTGCTTTTATACAAAAATGTTGACTCTCTTTCCTGCTGATCCTTTTTGCTCTCTGTATTTCAAAGCCCGATGGTTCATGTCAGAACTCACCAAACCCTGAGGGTTTCTCAGGGGCCACTTTTGCATCATTTTCACCATGAGCTTATACAGTTTCCATTTTCATAGTCTAATTTGAACATGCCAAGAAATAGTTTGTAATTTGCATAAGAAAACTTTTCATGAGATTAATGACTTATGATTATTAGAAACTTAGGGAATGCTACATATAAATTTGTTTTTGTTGTTTAATTGCTCACACTCTTTTGCAACCCACCAAGCTACCCCGTTCATGGGATTTTCCAGGCAAGAATACTGAAATGGGTTGCCATTTCCCTTCCCAGGGAATCGTCCCAACCCAGGAATCGAACCCAAGTCTCCTGCACTGCAGGCGGATTCTTTACCACTGAGCCACCTGGGAAGCCCCACATATAAATATACAATTTTTAAAATTTACCATCCTACCACTAAGAGAGAAATCTCTACTAACATTTTTTAAGCTGAGATAATACAAATAATATTATCTAACTAGTGAGATTTTCATTTTTAAAATATCATTGTCTAATATGAATACAGGCCAGAGATTACTGCTTGAATTGGGAATAAAAAGACACCAGTACATTGTATCTAAGGTTCAGATAGCTTTATTCCCAATTCTGTTTTGCAAGTAAGCTATGGCAGGTCATATTTCTGCTTTTAATGACTAGCCCTAGAAATCTTCACTGGGGTCTACAAAGCTGTCATTTTGGAACATTTTTTGAAAACTTCTTATTGTGAGAGAATTGAATTGAGTTTCATATGCGGTTATAATAACTAATACCTAGACAGTTTATATACCTTTCACCTCATTTCCCCTGTGCCAACATCTCTCCTAACTGTAATACAATATCACAGCCAGGAGACTGACATTGATAGGATCTGGAGACCTTATCAGATTCCACCAGCTTTACATGCACTTGTGCATGTGTTTGTGTATGTGTGTGTGAACACTTAACTGCATGTATTTAGTCCTAAGCAATTTTATCACGTGTGTTTACCATCACAGTCAAGAGACAAAACTATTCTGTCATCACAAGGATCCCCGGTGTTGTCTCTTGTAATTGTGCTTCCTTCCCTCCTGCTCCCTTCCTTTTACTTCCTGGCAACCACTAATCTATCCTCTATTTCTATATTTCTTGTCATTTCAAAAAATGTTACCCACCCCTCAAATAACATTAAGTAGATGGAATCTGAAGGTATGTAACCTTTTGAGACTGGTTTTTTTCACTCAGCATGATTTACCTGGAGATTCATCCAAATGGTTTCCTGCACCTGCAAGTTCACTCCTTTTATCCAAAGTTCACCCCCTTTATGGCAGAGCAGTATCCCGTGTCATGGGCGCACCACAGCCTGTGTAACCAACCAGCCTATGTAGGACTTCTGGACTGCTTCCAATTTTTTGGCTATTACGATTAAAGCTACCATGAACGTGTGTGTTCCGGTTTTTGAGTAAGAGACAAAACTATTCTGTCATCACAAGGATCCCCGGTGTTGTCTCTTGTAATTGTGCTTCCTTCCCTCCTGCTCCCTTCCTTTTACTTCCTGGAAACCACTAATCTATCCTCTATTTCTATATTTCTTGTCATTTCAAAAATGTTACCCACCCCTCAAATAACATGAAGTAGATGGAATCTGAAGGTATGTAACCTTTTGAGACTGGTTTTTTTCACTCAGCATGATTTACCTGGAGATTCATCCAAATGGTTTCCTGTACCTGCAAGTTCACTCCTTTTATCCATAGATCACCCCCTTTATGGCAGAGCAGTATCCCGTGTCATGGGCGCACCACAGCCTGTGTAACCAACCAGCCTATGTAGGACTTCTGGACTGCTTCCAGTTTTTTGGCTATTACGATTAAAGCTACCATGAACGTGTGTGTTCCGGTTTTTGAGTGCACATAAATTTCTGCTTCTCTGAGATGAATGCCAGGCGATATTTTTTAATGCTTATCAGAATATTTTTACTCTAGCATAATTTATTATTTTCTTCTTTGTCTTATCTACTTTGTGTGTTTTCAGTTATCTTTGACCTCTCTCAGAGCATTTCCTTCTTTTCTTTTTTAAATTTAATTTGGCTGTGAGGCATGTGGATTCTTCCCCCAGCAGGGATAGAACGTACAGCCCCTGCATTGGAAGGGTGCAGCCTTAACCAGTTGACAACCAAGGAAATCCCTCTTTATTTTTAGAAAGCATTCTACTTAATGACAAAGATTTCCAAGGGGAAATAAAAGAATAGATGGTATGTATTGCTTTTTCCTGTTTGAACTGTAAACACCTTTAAACTTGGCATGGTGAACCTTCTTGCTCAAGAAATAAATTTAAGCACACATTCACTTTCAGACTTACAAGAAAGTCACATCAGGGAAGACCAAACGCAGCGATCATGTAACAGATTTGAAAGAAAAAACCAAAGCGGAGTTACATCCACCTCAAGGTAAAGTGAATTCACTATTTTCTTTTTCCTTGAGGCACTGATTTTCATCATCATATTCTAGCGATGAACACTATTTGATTTTGTCTTCTTTACTTAGTCCCAAATGGCGTGGGTAGGAGTTTGTTCAAAAAGGAAAAGTCCAAAAAAAAAAAAAAAAAAGGAAAAGTCCAACCAAAGTCTAAAGACGTTTTGGATGAGTGCACTTGGTAAATGAAAACATTATACATTTAAACTGCTGACCAGCATCTTTGACTTCTTTCTGTGATGACATTACTCTTCCCCTACTCAGGCTTCCATTCATGCAGGCATGAACTTGACCTTTCATTTCTCTCATTATTTTTTTAAGTCACGAAACTCATTTTGTTTCAATTTTAGCTAAGAACATCTGTGTGCTGTGACATTAGAGTCAGTTATCTCTACTGAGTCCCTCAGTTCAGATTGATAAAATGGCAATTAGTAAGAAGAGAAACTTCATATTTTCATCCTAATGTATACTTTTTGCCTTAAAGTGCTTGCTTTATACCATACTTTCTTCCATTTCAGCTATAACATCATTATTATCAAATACTATGATCGCTATTAAGGGACAAGGAAAATAGCTTCTCATGGACCAGTTTTAACCTTTTTGTCATGAGAACAATAAGAGAATATCATTAATAAACATAATGAATATAATCATGAGATGATTGTAATAATACTAAAATACAGCATTTCCATAACATTTCCTTGGTTTTAACCCTTTTCATATATATTATTTTAGTTAATCCTCCCAATAGCTTTGTTAGGTAGATATTATTAATATCCCCATTTTACAGGAGACAAAACTGAGGTTGAGGGAGGATTAGTAACTCTTCAAAGTCATCAGTTAGTTGGTTATTTTCCCATGCTATTTCCCATGACACATGGCCTGTTTATTTTCATGACCTGTATTTGAGTAAATAATACGTGTAAATTATTATTTTTTAAAGTTCAAGAGTTTCCAAAGGGTTTGCAAAATAGCAGATCCCCCATTTTTCCTCTCCAGAAGCAACCAGTAACACCAGTTTCTTTGTGTCCCCCTGGAGAGTCTTTACAAATGTAACTATTTAGCTTTAATCTTACTCTCCTTTTGTCCTAATACAAATAGTACCATACCTGTACACTGCTCTTTTCCACGTAACAGACTACCTTGAAGACCATTTCATATCAGTACTTATTGATTTGTCTCAGTTTTTAATTTTTATATATTTATTAAAAAAATTTTTTTGGCGGCAAGGCAGAACATGTGGTACCTTATTTCCCTGACCAGGGATGGAACCCACACCCTTGGTAGTGGAAGTACAGAGTCCTAAGCATTGGGCTACCAGGGAATCCCTGACTCAGATTTTAAGATGACTGTAGAATGTCCACTGTATTCCCATGCTCTTTAACACTTTTTTTTTAATGGACTAAATTTTAAAGGTGAGAAAGAGAACCTTGTGGGTGCCGAGGAAGCCAGTTTAGAAGCCCCTGAAGTATCTTCAGCGGAAGCTTCTCCGGTGGTTACTGAAGATATTCCCGATGCTCCAGCTGTGGTCGTAGAAGAGGCNTAAAGGTGAGAAAGAGAACCTTGTGGCTGCCGAGGAAGCCAGTTTAGAAGCCCCTGAAGTATCTTCAGCGGAAGCTTCTCCGGTGGTTACTGAAGATATTCCCGATGCTCCAGCTGTGGTCGTAGAAGAGGCTCCCCCCTGTCCAGATGACGCCGAGGCTGCTCCTGCGGAGGCCGAGGTGGTCGGTGCTGAGTCTCGGCCAGAGGCGACAGGGGAGACCGCCGAGGAAACGACCTCAGGGGTCCCGAGCGCAGCTCCGGAGGAAGCTGCTGCCCTGGATCGTGATGAAGGTACAACAGAGAACGAAAGCTCTGGTGAACGTGCTGAACTGGAAGAAAATTCTCCAGTTGAGTCAGAATCCTCTGCCGGGGAGGATTTACAGGAAGAAGCCTGTGCTAGTTCTGAGGCCGCCTCAGCCCGAGGCTGATCCCAGGCTGATTGGCACCTCAGCAAAAAAATGCCGTAGAGTGGCTGATAGGTGTCTTTGTAGTTTTAGTAACCTTAGATTTAAAAAAAAAACAACAAAGGCTTCTTTTCTGGAAGATGGTATTGTGCCTTGAGGATTTTTGTTTTTGTTATCTACTGATCGATTTCAGAATGGAGAGATTTGAGATTTTACATGTCTGAATAGTTTTCTGCTCTCTGGGATCAGAGTATGACATAGCAGTAAAGAGCTTAAAGAGTTTCATCTGTGAATTTAAATTTTATGTGACAGAGATTGAGCTGTCTTTACAACCTTCATTCACATTAGTTTTGCTATAACTCTGCCTTTCTTTAATGTATGTAAATCTAGGTTCTTGAGTTTTAATTTGAACTCTTAAATAAATTTGGAAAATCTTTAGTGCTTCTATTATTATTCACTCACATTTATATGTATGAATAGTATATATTAACATGCACACATATAACATCACATGAACATTGCACTGTTATCAAAGAAAACATAATCTACTGAAAACTGTGTATGGCAACATGTGTAACCTTTCTCCCATCTATGTTACATGGGGGCTGTGCCGATATTTTCCATATTAGCTTAGTTCTCTTTGAGCAATGTTTATTGAGGACTTACACTTCATGCTAGGGATCATTCATTCATTCCCATATTCAGCAAGTATTAACTGAGGATTTATAACTTACCAGGCACTGTTTAAGTACTGAGATGAAAAAAAAAGCAAAAATTCCTGCCCTTCCCAGCTCATGTCCTAGAGTATATATGTTAATAAATGCTCTGTGCTATGCTTAGTCGCTCAGTCATGTTCCGGCTCCTCTGTCCGTGGGGATTCTCTAGGCAAAGATACTGGAGTGGGTTGCCATGCCCTCCTCCAGAGGGTCTTCCCAGCCCGGGGATCAAACCCAGGTCAACAGATAATAAATAGTAAGCAAGATAAATAAGAAAACTCTAAACAGATATAAACGATAAACAAGATAAATATAGTCTGTTAGATACTGATAAGTATTTGGAAAAAAGTAATGAAAGTAAAGGAATCCTATGTGTTGGTTTAGGGGTGGGAGTTGTTTTACAGAGTGCAGCCAGAGAAGACCTTCCTGAGAAGCTGTCTTGTGAGTAAAAACCTGAAGGATGTAGAAGGGACCTTGTCATGAGGGTATGGGGGGGTAGAGAGCAGCAGAAAAATATTCCAGATGAGAAGACTAAAAGGATCTGAAGCATGAATGTGTTAAAGAATTTGAGGAATTGCAAGGTGGCCAATGTGTGGTTGCTGCTAAGTCGCTTCAGTCATGTCCAACTCTGTGCAACCCCATAGACAGCAGCCCACCAGGCTCCCCCGTCCCTGGCATTCTCCAGGCAAGAATACTGGAGTGGGTTGCCCTTTCCTTCTCCAATGCATGAAAGTGAAAAGTGAAAGTGAAGTTGCTCAGTCATGTCCGACTCTTTGCGACCCCGTGGACTGCAGCCCACCAGGCTCCTCCGTCCATGGGATTTTCCAGGCAAGAGTGCTGGAGTGGGTTGCCATTGCCTTCTCCGAATGTGTGGCTAAGGTGGAATAAAAAAGAGAGAGTAGTGAAGATGATTTCAAAGAGAAAGAATGGTTATGCAGGGGTGGGCTAGATCACCCAGAATCTAGTACAGTTTTGGCTACCCAAGTAAGTTGGGAAGTTGCAGTGGATGCTCTTGATGCTCTGACCAGATCCCTTTAACTGGGCCGGTACATACACTCCCAGCCGCTGTGAGTGTTACACACACCCCGCCCTAACCGCACCTCCACTGGCTCACAGCGATGACTGACTACCAAGCTGGTACAAAAGGTGGGACTGACACCCTGGGACAGCTCAGAGCTACCCAGGGGCTCAGGTTGAAGCTGGTTTCCAGCTGAGATTACATCATTGCTTGGCTTTTTCTCCTGTTACATTTTGCTTGCCTCCCTCCTGTTCTCCTGAGAGCGCTCCTTTAATAAATCACCTGCCTCCAAATTCCTGTTTCAAGCTGTTGCCAAGAAATCCACCTAAGGTAATTGTACCAAGTGTCCTAGGAAGCAGACCCTAAGAATAGGGCTCTGGAATTTTATTACTCTCCAACTAGATAGCAATAAGGACCGCATCACTGGCGGCGGGTGGAAGACTCTTAGTTCCTGGCCTTCTGTAACAGTGTGGTTGCTAAGATGTTCACTCGAGGTAAAGGAGGGTAGACTGTAGGTGGAAGGTGGTATACTGGCTGATTTAATCCCTTTGGAATTTGAGAGGTACCAAGAAATAATAACTAGGACTTGATCATCGCAGAGCAACATTTCATTCTGAAGTACAAAATGTACCTGGGATTTGTTTTGAATTTGCCTCAACACCAATTCTGCCTTAGACTTGTAAGTCTAAGGCCTATGCGCAATGAAGGGATGCTGTTTCACTCAACATTCTGTAAAATGGAGCAGAAATACTACCCAGTACCACTTTTACAACCTCAAAATACACACAAAAATGCATTCTTCTCCAATCTTTTGGTTAGGACAGTTTCTGCTGCAAATAACAGAAACCAGTTCAAACTGAGTAAACAACAGAGATAGTTACTGTCTAACCAGCTCTCCAGAGGTCAGGCAGCTGCCGGGTTGGTTTATTCTGTGGCTCAGCTGTCAAGAACCAGGTTATTTCTATTATTCTGCTGTACTATCAAGAATGTTTTGGCTTTATCCTTGGTCGGCTTTCCTCATAATCACAGGATGACTCACCGGAATTCTAGGTATTTTATTCAGCCACAATAATGTCCACTCAGAGTCTTTCAAAAACAAGAATTTCCTCATCTTAAAAAATATATTTCTTTTTAATGTTATGTTGTGGAAATTTTCAGACCAAAAAGCGTAGAGAGAGCAGTGTAAGAAATCTTCATGTGCTCTCACTCAGATTTACCAGCTATCAAGTCTTGGCAAATCTTATATTCCTATTCACCCACTTAATCTTCTACCACTACCACTGCCTGTATGTAAAATAATAGTAATTATTATTGTTATTATTAAATAATAATAACTAATTATCTATCAGAAAGCAAATTTCCTCAAATGCCTCATAAAGGATTTTCTCCCCACCTTCAATTTGTTTTTTGGCTCAGAATCTGAAGTCCACAAATTGCAATTGGTTAATATATCCTTAAGTCTTTTTTCTATAGGTTCCCCCTTCATCTCCCTTTTGTTTCTCTTTGTCATTTTTTTTAAAAAATAAACTGAGTCCTTTAATCTGTAGAATGACCAGATGATTCACAATCTGGGTTTTACTTATTGCCACTACATGGATTTTTTTGGTTTTATTTTCACATGTTCTTCTCCCTTGTACTGCCTATAAGGTGGTGTTTAGAAATATAGAAGTTTGATCAGATTTAGGCTTATTGTTTGGACAGGAATACCTCATAGGTATTCACACTTCCATCAGGGTTTACAATATATAATTGTTTTTTTCTTTTTGATGAAGTCATCCATCCATTATTGGAATCACCCGTTATTTCACTAACAGTTGTAAAATGGTGATATTGTAATTTTATCATTACATATTAGCAGAACTACTTCTATAATGGAGAACTTCACCAACTCTTTGATTATACTGAGGTGGTTTTCTTTTGGGAAGGTTGGTTTAATTCTTTGGTTTTTTTTTTTTTTCCTTATCTTTTTGGTGTGGACTATTTTTTAAGTCTTTATTGAATTTGTTACAGTATTGCTTCTGTCATGTTTTGGGGTTCTTTTGGCCCCAGGAATTGTGGGCTCTTAGCTACCTAACCTGGAGAAGGAAATGGCAACCCACTCCAGTGTTCTTGCCTAGAGAATCCCAGGGACGGGGGAGCCTGGTGGGCTGCCGTCTATGGGGTCGCACAGAGTTGGACACGACTGAAGCGACTTCGCAGCAGCAGCAGCAGCAGCTACCTAACCATGGATCTTGAACCAGCGTCACCTTCATTGGAAAATGATGTTTTAACCACTGGACCACTGGGGAAGTCCTGGATTTTTCTTTTTATTTCCAAGTTTCAAAACATGATGGCTCCCCAGCATGCTCCATAAGTGACCAATACGTTATTTTTTATGATCATTATGAACTCAGCAATTTAAACATAAATTATATGCTTTAATCGGTTGGAGTCATTATCCTTATTAATACTGGGATTTACCATCTTTGACAAATGGGAGATTCTTAAATGGGCTTCCTGATTTTTTTTGACTCAAAACTAGTAGTCTTGGATAGCTTCTTGCTTTCTGTATATAGGCTATAAAAATCCTATCCCAAAATCAGCTATTTCTTTAAGAAATCTTGCTTTTTTTTTTCTTTTTTTTTAAGAAGACTTGCTTCTTTTTTAATGTGATTGTAGTATTTAAGGATTTAAGTATTGAAACTACAATCTAGGTGAGTAAGGGCTGTCCATTGCTACTGGGTTGGTCACTGTATCTAGGCCTTAAAGTAGACATAGTCATGTCATTTCACATTCCCCCAAACAGCACTCTATGTGAATACTTGTTTCCCGTGAGAGTATATTGTCAAATGTTCAGATTTTTGCTCACATGATGGATTAAAAATATCCAAGTTTGGGTTTGATTTGCATTTCCTTTATTAACTGTAAGGTTGAACATTTTTTCATTTGTTTAAGAACCATGTACATTTCTTTTGTGCAAACTATTTGTTCATATCTCTAGTATATTTTCTATAGTGTTGTCAATCATTTTTTATTTTTAGAAGCCCCTTATGTATGGCAACGCATTGCAGTACTCTTGCCTAGAGAATCCCATGGACAGAGGAGCCTGGTGGGCTGCCATCTATGGGGTCGCACAGAGTCGGACACGACTGAAGCAACTTAGCATGCATGCATGCATGCATGAATGTAACAGAGATAGTAACCTTTTGTCTATGATGTAGACAAAGATATAAATATTTTTCGAGTTTGTCATTAATCTTTTTCATTTGCTTATAATGTTTTGTAATATAAGAGATTTTTAGTTTTATGTAATCAAAATGATTAATCTTTTTCTGCATGTATCTGAATTTTGAGCTATGATTAGTGTAGCAGATTGGGAAAAAAAAGTAGCTACACATTCTTCCCTTGTATGCACACTCCTGTGAAGTGTGACTTTACATCTCTTCCTGTCAAGAGATGGGGACTATTTTTTTACCTCCTTGAATTTAGGCTTGCCTTGTACTTTCCTTGGTAGAATGCTGAGGAAGTGACCTCATGAGAATCCTCCCTCTGTTGGATCTCTGGGACCACACTGAGTGGAAAAGCCTGGACTAGTCCATGAGGATGAGAGACCATTGGAGAGAGAGGCCCCATCTACCACTGGCGCCAGCCCCAGATCTGGGAGTGAGGTCCCCCTAGATCAGCATGCCTAATTGCTGCAGTTGTGAGTGAGGCAGGCAAAACCA